CCTAACCAATTCAAAAATTGCATTATGTTACACATATTGGTACTTTTGTTCTTTGGTATGAAATGTTTTGAAAAGTAATTCTACTGATGTGGTAGAATATGTTTAATAGCCAGCTGAAAATGCCAAGATGGTCATCACCCTTTGGGCATTTATCAGGGCTGAGTATGACGAGGAAAAAATTCTTGGTGTGCATTAACTTAATAATCTCCCTGTGTTTCATTCTACCTTCTTCTCTTTTATTTTTCTTTATGTACCCATGTATGCCACATGCAGTGCGTTTGGCGTAGTTATGCAGCTGATGAGAAATCTGTTTCCATTGCAACCTGGAAGCCACACTTGAAGGCCTTGCACACCTGCAGCCCTACCAAGTAGGTATCAGTGTGACAGCTGGTGCAGTACTCAAGTCTCTTCAAGTTTGTAAAACAAACCAGATACACACACACACAGACACACAAACACACACACACACAGAGTCAATTTTTGGCTTTATTCTCTGCTGCTCTTGAAGGGACTCAACCTATTTAGTAGCAGCAACTCGGGCACAAAACTAAATGGACTCAGTATCATTCCTCACCATTTGCAGATAGGGCTTAAAGATTAAAGGAATCTGAACTTTTATAGAGATTTATTTCTACTATTTTATAATATCTCATTTTCTAATATCTCATTTTATAAAGCCCTCCAGAAGTCTAAAGGTAAGCACCATAGTTCTTGAAAAACATGACTGTTTAAACTCCATCCATCGCCTGACCTCAAGCAGGGAATGCTTTGAGAACTATATATCTTTGCACATTTCAGTCCCTCAGTCATTTTTCATCTGGATCCCCTTACAGAATGGTCCTCGAGCTTTCACTTGCATAGCAAACTAATATCAGTAGCAAATAATAGTTGGAGTCCTAATCGGATTACAGTCTATAATGAGGTGATGGGACCAAACAGATTAAAATTTGGCATTAGCTTTCAAAATTTTAAAGTAATATTACTTGCATTCACAATTCGTTGGCCAAAGAAAATCACCTGGCCATGTTTAAACTTCAGGAGGATGAGAAAATGCAATCTTACCATGTGCCTGGAAAGAAAGGAGAACCAGGAAAATTATGAAGTTCTGATGGTTACTGAACTTCAATTTAAAAAAAAGAAAAAAATCCTTAGTCCTGGAATCCTGGACTCCAGTTCAACTAACAGAGTACATATTAAGTTATAACCACCACCTAATTAAAGAACTCTTCATTGAAATAACCAAAAGAAATCAAGGGAAAGGTTTTCTGTGAGTCACCCAGCTTGATAAAAATGGTCACTTCCTTGGGTTGTTCAATGTTATCAAATTGCTTATCCGACTTAATATTTTAGAACACCTGCTGTTTCCCTTCATAGCCCAACAAAATCTTAATCCTAGTGGCTATATGGGATTCAAGACACCTAACTACTGTGACTCAGTCAGAGAAACCTCTTTCTCACTGAAGTGGAAGAGAAATCAGCTGGGGAAACCTTTATGACATGTTTCCAGGAATTGAAGTCTCAAAGGAGGTTTGTGATGCAGCAGAATGCACACCGTTGGGGCAGCAGATCCATCATTAACTGACAGCATCTGCTATATTGCTTTCCTATCCTGCCATGAGTTTCAGCTTTCCCATCCACAAAGTGAAAGACAAGAGCTGGCGATATAACTTCTAAGCTCTAACGGGACATGTCTCCTAAAAGCAAGCGTCAAAACTCTGTCAGCCACTGTGACAGAAATAGTCATAAAACACCAGGATTATAAAAGGGATGGAACCTTAGCAAGGAAGGAAGGGTGGACATTGTTGAGTGAATGTGTGAATGAGAATTGTCTTTTCATTTAGATTTTAAAATTTAGTTAAATTCCCTTTATTGAGTATTGGACACTTTCAAAGTCGTAGTATGAAAAAAAAAGGAATATAACCCCTGTGCCATCTATTCCTTGGGGGTATGAATGAAAAATGGGAATTATATAGAAATTGTATTTCTGTCTTCATGAAGATTGCCAGATAAATGTGTAAGAAGAAGGCTAGCAGTAAAACCAAAAGAAGGTTCTCAAGTCACAAAAGAGAGTGGTCTGTCACCATATGTGATTATTTGGCTTCCCGCTTCCTGAGTTTTTGAATTAAAAGTCATTCTGAAGCCTGGAGAAATTATTTAATAATGATTCAGATCCTTCCAGTGCATAAACTTCTATTTTACTCACATGGTTTCTCTCTTTTCCTTTGATATTTCCCTATTTTAAATGGGGTGGGAGTGGAGGAGAATTTATGCAAACACCTACATTCACCCTGTTCCACTGTGGCTATCAAGCATCTCCCTCATTCTCCTTTCCCTGCATCCCTCACCAACTAACCCCTGAGTCTCAGGCCCATGTACTGAATAACAGGTATTTGTTCAGAATGACACAGCAGTCACTGGCAAAGTTCATGGAAACCTGAGTGTCCTAACATCTCTCCCACCAGCCATACTTCATTGTTCTAAATCATAATGGTTCTTAATCTTTGTTGTTATTGTTGTTGTTGTTGTTGTTGTTGTTTGTTAAACCAGCGAGAATGTGATGATAATTATGGACTCTTTCTTAAGTAAAATATTCACTGCATAAAAAATTAAATCTTTGCCTAAAATTTTAATGTATTCACAAACTTGCTGAAACCAAGTTCGGAACCTTTGTTTTAGAAAGCAAGCCTTATGCTCGCTTCAGCAGTACATATACTAAAAAGGCAAACCTGCTTTAATTAAGTGTGTAGGAAAATAATTTACAGTGACTTAGAGAGATATTTTTACATTTATAACTAACTGCTTTATGAGCACAAAGTGATATAGGAAGAAACAAACTTAAACTTCTTTTTATTTCCCTATAACAGGGTTTAAAAACTTTTGAGGGGAAATATCATTCAGTCGGTCATTTATTCATTCAACAATTATTCATTGAGCACCTATTATGTGCAAGGCACTGTTCCAGGCAATAAGAATGCAGCAGTGGAAGAGAAAAAACAAATAGTTTAGAACCTCAGGACACAGGGAGTATATATTCAAGGGATGCTGGGAAGAGACAATAAAAATAAGTAAAATATATAATAGGCTAGATGGTGATAAATGCTAAGAAAAAAAAAGTAGCAAAGGAATTTAAGGAGTGTTCAAGGCTGCAGTTTTAAATAGGTGGTCAGCAAAAAGAATATGTTGTCAATAGCATTGACATCACCATCACTATCATCATCATCATCATCATCATCATCATCATCATCATCGTTATCATTAAAAAACACCAGCCCACACTTTTGTTCCCCACAGTTTTAGAGATACAATGGGATGCTTTGATCCACAACCTCATCCCAGGGAATAGGATGGAAGAGAGATGTGAGAACTGTGTAAGGGAGAGAGGGGCAGTGTGAGCAAGCATACCATATCCACTCAAACCTGCCAGGGGCACAGCCAGCAGTTTCTTACTCTCTCCTCTCTGGTTTGTCTCAAATTTCTTTTGAGGTCTCCATAGTTGCTATTTTAAAATTTTGTTTTAATAACAGAAGGATTTATAGAGGAAACATATTTCTCTTGATTTTCTTCTCAAAGGGAATGAAGGCTATGCAAAGAGTGAAAAGCACGTAAATGTGTCATGTTAGGGAATGAATCCAATATTTTATGAAGCTATAGCGAATCATCAAGCTCCAAGGATGCCTAGTGGTACCTTGAGAAGTCAGAATTTTGATGTTATCTAACCCAATACCTTCAATTTATTCATAAGAAAATCAAAACTCACAAGAAAGCAAAGTGTCTACCCAAAGACACACAGCTCATTTGCACCATGTTGCACAGACCTGAATTTGGTAACATAGGTTATTAAAAATGCCACCCAACACTAAATTGGAAGAGTCCTTATAGGCTTTCTATGCACCTAATATGATCCAAGAGAATTCATCCTTTATACAATAGGAAAACAAAGTCTGCCTCAAGAAGTAACTGAAGTACAAGTTGCACATTAATGAATCCAGATTAAAAAAACCCAAAAGTCTGTCCAAAATATGGGGACTGCAGATACAGGGTAACCGGCACCGTTCTAAGAGTGTTTGCTAATGCTGGTTAGCATTATGGATAACTTAAGCTAATGAAGAGTTTATAATTTTCAGTTACATGTGGGCAGCATTGGTTTTTGCTACACAGACGTTATGCTATCTCAGGTCTGTGCCACAAAGAATATATGTTAAAAAGTTGGGTACATTTATTATAAAGAATATTGCCTCCATGCATCTTGCTTGAAAAGAATTACTTAAGGTACTTGAGTCCCCAGTCTCCAATTTAGCTGTTATCAAGTACTATAAATGTATTCACCGGTTTATCATCATTTCTCTTCTGTCTGCACGCACCTGAAGGAAAGAACAAGGGGAAACATCAAGCAGGTTTGTAATCTCTTCTGCTACATATTTGTTTATATATCTGTACCTAACAGATGTTTTAAATGTGTCTCATGTGAGTAAAATCGATCAACAAATACAAGATGATTAAAAGTGACCTTTCACAAGATTGCCTGCAGAAGTTGCTGTTTTATTGATTTTTTTCCCCCGCTTTGGGAACACAAGTGTCTTTACCTAACTCACTCACTGCTTTTTACAATCTGCAGGGCATGGAATATTGGGGAGGTGGGGAGAGATAATAATTATAGCCTTTGGTTAGTCCTTGCTACAATTTTTCCAGACAAAAGTCTCACCCAAGTATTCAAATCCCAAGAAGCCGTATAAGATGGACTCCCTTCATCAGGATCCTTCTTTTAGACTGAGATATTAGGGTATTTGTTGGTTTGGCAAACGAAACACTATATAGGAGGTGAGAACAGTCTCTGTAACATCTCAAGCTCATTGAACATTGAGGTTTAGTCAGGTGATCTGATTCAAAAGAAGAGTCTCCCCACCCCCATCCTTCAGGAAAAAGATAATCCTCCCAGAAATGTTACCAAATAATTTATGGTCATTCTTTCATGTTTTAGAAGGGATTGCTTTATCAGATTAAACAGCAGAGAGACCTAGACAGAATAGGAAGTGAAAGACATCATTTTGATCTGTATTAGTACCAGTAAGTACCCCGGAGTCTGGGTTTGGGAGCAAAGCCCTGACAGACAGAGCCTGGTGATGGTGTGATTAATAGCGGAAGCAGAACCAGCAGGAGAATTCCAGGTGCCCACAAGAAAAGAAGGGATATAAGTCTTTTCCCTATTATTGCCATTTGCTTGAGTAATGAGGCAACAGAGGCATCCCCTGCCCTGTTAGCCTCCAGGTGGGGGCCAATGTGGGTCCCAGGATCGTTCTTTTAGCTTTGTTACACTAATGGCATTAATCATAATATATTTATATAATACTGAAACTAGTTTTTAAAGTTC